GATGATGATGATGATGATGATGATGATGATGATGATGATGATGATGATGTAATCGATGGCGTTTATTGACAGGATGTTTCGGCATCTCTCTCGAACCCATCATCAGAGACAGTTGCAGAAGAGGATAACAGGGGAGACATTTGTGACGCAGTATTTATAGGATGCAGTTGCCAGACGAGCACATGCCTACTGTAGTTGATAGTCTTCGTGTTTATTGCTAGGATTTGTACTTGATGCGAAGATTGCTTTTGGTCCGTTTCCGAGTCGTTTAGTACCATGATTATGCATCACCGTTGTCGGTTCGTGGCGTGACAATCACTTGGCAAGTTGGCTTCCTGTCCTCGGGACTGCTGGTCACCCGCACCTTATCCGCGTGACTGGGAACTTTGTCATGACCTCGCGGTTCCATATTCTCCGCTGCAACTTTGCTTGAGCAAAACGATCAGTCACGCGAGGGAGGAGGGGGCGGTGCAGATGACCAGCAGTCACGGTGGCGCGTGCGAAACACAATATGGGTTACGTATTTCAGTCTGCATTAAAGAGGAAGGGCAGGGGTGCCTCAGTGAAGAGTGTGGTCCTTGCGGTCTGATCCGGTTTTTTAAGAACGAGTGCGTTAATTTGACAGTTGGCAGTCTTCGACGTGTCGTAGAGAGTGCAGTTTTATTGTACTGAGCGCCCAATGAAAACGTGACAACGGAAATCCGAATATCCCATTTTGGCGCAAGTCAAACGTTCTACCTTTTTCCTATTCATCTAAAGTGTGCCGGAGAAAGTTTTTGCTATAAACATGTTTCAAATTGATTCTATCGAGCAACCGGCATACAGTCAGTCGACGATAAGATCCACCTCCCTCGAAATTCATAGAATTTACTAGGTTACTAACTGTCCTGGACCACAGTTGTGCAGCAAATAGTTTTTTTATCAGATGGCATCAATCCCAACGGTAAAGATTTGCCAACACAACCTTCGTCCTCTGGAAAATTGATTGTTTGTTTCGCGTGAGTCTGCTAAAACACGAAACCAGAACTCCCTTTCATTAAAAATGGTCGGAAATACGGAAGTAGGAAACCATCGTAATATACAGGACCTTGTAGTAAATTCAAGGAAGGTCGCGTATGCCCATGCCCTAACACGGAAAAGAGCGGCATATAGTGAGCACCATGAACTGGAGTATTCATTCTCTGAAGATGGGTAGAATTAATAAGCATCCGAAACTTCAGACACACTCTCCCGGCGAATGCTCTTCCCTCGTCTGACCCACCTAACCGTTAAACTTAACCCGAAACCTTAATTTCCCTGGGGTTTTGCGCAAGGGCATCGGTATTACGCGCGGTTTCTGCTCCCGTGTCCGGACGGGGGCGGATAGATAAGCTTTCCCTACATGAGAAGTTTCTATTTTGTACCTTTTTGTGATTTTATGCCTTTACTTTCTAGCGTACCCCCCTTTTCCTGGCATATGGAAACCTTCGATAAGCAGCCCTGGAAAAGCTCACAATTAGGCGGATTATAGGGATTGAATGTTGTGATAATATTAATTAGCGGTCTACGCCTATAGACCTTATATATACTGATATATACCGCAATCAGAAAC